TGGGGGATTGAATGGCGGTCCCTGTGCTTTGCTAAGCTTGTTCTAAGTAGGTGCTTTAGACCACGGAGCCATCTCACCAGCCCCGCTATTGAGTTTTGATTGTTGACTTTGTATTCAGCTGCACTACTGAATTTGGTTATTAAATGTAAAAGTCTTTTGGTGGTATTTTTGGGGTCTTCTATATAGAGTATCAAATAATTTATGAATAATGATGATTTGACTTCTTTCTTTCCAATCCTTATTCCTTTTATTTATCTCTCTTGTCTAATTAATTGCTCTGGCTAATGTTTCCACTATAGAGAATAGAAGTGATAATAATGGAAATCTTTTCTTCTTCCTGATTTTAAGTGGAAAGCTTTCAGTTTTTGTCCATTTAGTATGATGTTGGCTGTTGGTTTGTCATACATGACTTTTATCAGATTGCAATAAAGACCATCCATTCTGATTTTCTATAGGCTTTATATAATGAATGAGTGTTGGACTTTATCAAAATCTTTCTCTCCTGGCAAACGCAGGGTCCTGAGTTCAATCCCTGGCGCAGAAAAAAACAAACAAACAAAAAAAAACAAACAAAAAAGCCCCACCAAAACAAAACAACTTTTTCTGCATGGATTGAGATGATCATGTGCTTTTTGTCTTTTATTCTGTTGATATGATATATTACATTTCTTGATTTGCATATATTGAACCATCCCTGCATTTCTTAGATGAATATTGGTCATGGTGTATAATCTTCTTGATGATTTGCTACATTGTGTTTGCTAGTATTTTATTGAGGATTTTTACATCTATGTTTATTAGAGAGATTGACCTGTAGTGCTCTTTTTTGGTTGTCTTTCTCTGGCTTTGTTATCAGCATAATACTTGCCTCCAGGAATGAGTTAGGGAAAATTGTTTCCCTTTCTGTTTCATTAAAGAGTTTGAGGAGTAGTGTCGTTAGATCTTCTCTAAATTTCTTATGGAATTTAACTGTGAATCCATCCACCTGGGCTTTTCTTTCTTGGTGAGATTTTAATAACATTTTCAATTTCATTGGATGATAATAGGTTATTCAGAATTTTTATATCTTCTTGATTGAGCTTTGGTAATCATGTGTGTATAGGAATCTGTCCATTTTTTGTTTGTTTTTCATCTTG